GCAGCCATTTTCGCGCCCTCGGTAAGCGAGGGGAGGGCGCGAAAATGCTGCGCGCGGCCATTTCGGCTGTTCCGGTGGCCATTTTGGATCCGCCGATCAGCTGATCTGCGGGGTGCAAAGCGAAGGTCGGTAAGCGAAACGCTTACCGACCTTTGCTATGTGAGTTTCGCCCATTGGGGCCATCGGTAAGCGATCTCATTAGCGATCGCGGAAACCGCATCGCTATGCGATTTCGTCGTTATACGATGCGCTCATTAAGCAAGGCACCACTGTATACCCCAGTACAGCTTTTCCCACTCTTTTGTTGAGGGGTACTCCATTTCTTCTACGGGATTCTTGCCCACAAGAGTAGATATGGTATTTGTCTGAATTGAATTCACCCATTCCCGTCCATTTTAGTTCACTGACGCCCAGGATGTCAGTGTTTATTCTTGCCATTTCCTGTTTGACCACCTCCAGCTTACCAAGGTTCATGGATCTTACATTACAGGTTCCTATGCAGTATTTTTCTTTGCGGAATCGGACTCTCTTTTCGTTTCCAGGCGTATCCGCAGCTAAGCATCCTTTCGGCTTTGGGCAACCACTTCATTAGCTCTGGAGCTACTTGTCCTTGTCCTCCACGCCTTCCAACCTGAGGGTCTCCTCTTCCAGTGTCATATCTTTTAGCCTTTTGTTTCTGTTCATGGGGGTTTCTTGGCAAAGATACTGGAGTGGCTTGCCAGTTACTGCTCCAGGTGTATCGCATTTAGTCAGAACTCTCCACTATGACCTGTCCGTCTTGGGTGTCCCTACACAGCCTAGCTGATAGCTTCTCTGAATTACTCAAGCCCCTTCACCATGAAAAGGCAGCAATCCGTGAAGAGGGCTTACACCATTAGAAGACAATATTAAAACTAACAATAGTTAGTATACAGATACTAAAAAAGATCAAACAAATGCCACACCAAAAACATAAGCTACACTGAAACACATTCAAAGCAGTAAGGTACAACCAGCGATTTAAACACTCTAGTCAGGCAGCCAGTCGCTCAGGGAAAGCCTGTTTAAAGAGAAGGGGCTTCACCTCCTTGCAGAGGGAGAATAAAGATCATAGTCTCTTGTGAGAGGGAGTTCCAAAGTCTGGGATCAGCAACAGAGAAGGTCCTCTCCTTATTCCCACCAAATGCACCTGGGAAGGTGGCAGGACTGAGAGGAAGGCCTCTCCTGATGATCTTAGCACTGAAGTAGGCTTATAAAGGGAGATTTGGTCCTTGACATAGTTTGGACCCAGGCCATTTAGGGCTTTTATAGATTAAAATCAACACTTTGAATTGTGCCTGGAAACAGATTGGCAGCCAGTGAATCTGTTGTAAGCAGGGGAGGGGGGGAGTCATCTGATCAGCCCCAGTTAGCAATCTAGCTACTGTATTTTGGACCTGCTGAAGTTTCCTGACATTTTTTGGAGGCAGCCCCACATAGAGAGCGTTGCAGTAATCCAGTAAGCTTTGTGTCACCATGGCCAGATCAGACCTCTCTAGGAATGGGCACAGTTGGCACACTAGTTTTAATTGTGCAAATGCACTCCTGGCCATCTGCACTCCTACAAAAACCTGGGCATCCAGACTCAGAGACAAATCGAGTAGCACCCCCTAACCTGCATATATACGTTTTCAGAGGGAGTGTAATCCCATTTACCACAAAACTGCATTCCTGTTCCTTGACCTGCCTTTTAACCAACCAAAAGCACCTCTCTCATTTCGGGATTAAGTTTCAGTTTATTCACCCTCATCCATCCCATTACTGACACTAGACATTGATCTAGAGCTAAAACAACTTCTTCAGAAGTTTAGATGGTAAGGAAAGATAAAGTTGGATGTCATCCACATGCAGGAGGCACTGAACCCCAAAACTCCAGATGACCTCTCCCAGTGCTTTCCTGTAAAATAACAGGACACAGAACAGAACCCCAAGGGACCTCATAGGCCAGGATGTCAAACAGCTGTCCTCAAGCACCACCTTCTGAGTTCTCCCGTCCAGGAAGGACTGGATCCACTGTAAAACAGAGCCTCCAAGACCTGTCCCAAAGAGATGGGGCAGATCTGCATGATGTTACCAGAGATTTAAATTGATCCCCCCCACTTCCCATCTGTGGTGCCCCATGGCCCCCTAAAGAGTGCCTAGCACTCTGTCAGAGAGTTCAACAGGGCACTTACCTACTAACTTTGCATTGGGGCAAGTCCCAAGACCTCACACCTAGCATTCTGTCAGAGAGTTCAACAAGCCACTTACCTTTGCATTGGGGCAAGTCCCAAGACCTCAGCAGTGTGTAGCGTAAGCCCTTTGAACAAGTCTAACCTTAAAAGAACACTTTACTTTTACCCAGTACTTTGCAAGTACAGACACATGGGCTTTGTGATTCCTTAGAACTCACAACAGCTCAGTTAGGGAGGATTCTTAAAAATAGCTAGTTTGTGGCCCTCTCCACCTCCTGGATTTAGCCAGACCCTGTTGTTCAAGAGACCAGTCCTTTCGTAAGAGTTTTTATAATTAATTTTTATTAGAAAAATAGAGTTTCATAGAACCAGTTTATATTGCTAAAGCTTTAGTATAAAGAATATATTCAAAGATCATTACAGTTAAATAAAATAACTGTTTCCCATTAAAATAATAAACACTACTAAGCTGGGCTGAGGCGGGCTACAGTGGGCTACCTCCTCCTTTCTCTTTACCTACATCCTCTCTCAATCAAATTCTTTTCTTTCCCATCATCATGGAATCGAATCCCAGAACAACACTTAACTGAACCACATTGAACTACTTTCACATAACCCATCGCCCATTTTCTACATTCTCTAACTCCTCCCTTTTTCTTGACAATTCTGGCTATTAACCAATTAGCCTCAAGGGGCTGTAACACCTTCCTCCTCCCTCGATTCCCATGAAAGTCCAGGTGTTTTATCTCTTCTCCAATTAGCTCAGAATGCTGAGTCTTCCACGGGCCCCTTGATTTGTCCTTTAGTTTTATCTCGAACCTTTATTCTGTACCGATTTTCAGAAAAACACTCTCATGGCACTTAGAACAACATATTGCAACATGTCTAAAATCATCTTCACACAGAACCTGTCTGTCTCCACCTTACATTTCGCTGACTACATATCCCATCATCATGACACCATATACTTCAGGATTATTTTCCTTCACTTTTTTATTCAGGATTATGTGGTTCATTCAAAATATGTCAGCCACATCTATTTCTTTATTCTGAGCAAGCATGCTTTCCGTGGAGCATGCAGAATTCAAACTCTCCTGACTTCAACTGCGATGTCATCTGTGGGAGGGAAAGGCACAAGGGCAAGGCATGGGGAGAACAGAGGAAGGAGGGGGAAAGGTGGGAGGAGGCAGAGAAGGATATCTTATGATGTGGAAAGTCAAATGGAAAGAATTTGGATGCTACTGATGAAAAATTAGAACTGGTATGGATCTATGGGGAGACGGTACCAGTCTTTTAACTCACTTTAATCTGAGTCACATTCCTCATGTGGATGAGCCCTAAAATTCTTTGGGCATTGAGTTGACCTTCCCTTTGAAATGAATGGGAAAGCTCTCTCACAGATTGATGAACTGTGTTTGTGATTTTGGAAGTACAGGTAAGCCATAGCTGTCTGGGTGATCCAGATGTGGAATGTGGGGTCAAAGCCAAGGGAGACACCAGAACTGAGAAAAACTGGTTGTGTAGGCAAGATTTTAGTGAGACCAGGAGTTCTTCAATAGGCCTTTCTGTCCAGGAGAGCTCAGTGACAACCCTGGGTAAATAGGTCTAGTCTAGGGTCTGAATACATTTCACTGCAATTCTGGTAGCTCACTCAGAGAGGCAGATGCCTAGAAAGTTTCTGACAAAGTAATCAGTGGAAACTGCTTCTGCAGATCAAACGTGGAGAACCAGTGGCCTGGAAATCATGTTGAATCCCAGTTCCCATCAGACCAGACAGCAGGGAGGACAAGACAAATGGAGGGCCACAGTTCCTGGACCTAGGTCCCAAAATCTCGCATAAAGTAATATGACCCATTTTACGATGATTCCATTCAGTCCTTCCTTCCTTTCTTTCTTTCCATAGACCCCAGAAGTGACACCAGCTCAGCCATTCCAGAATCCATTTTTGGAGTTTGATATACCTATTCACAAAGGAGTCATAGATGATGTATCTACTGATTATCTTGGATTCAAACAGCACTGCTGCTTATTCTGGGGAAGTGCCCTTTCATTCTTGGAACAAGTTGCAAAACTTCTGAAAGACTATGTTGTGCCCTTTGCTGTCATCATGGGAAAGAAGGTGATAGAAATGATTCCAGATTTTGAACTTAACCAGAGTCTAACCAAGGAGGAACTGCTCATGGTGATAAAGAACGTGTCAGAGGTCAGAAAGATCTTATATCAACCTGGCCAGAAATATAAAGGCCAAAAGGGCACTGAAATGGCAGCCACTAAGATCCAGGCTACTTGGAGGTGCTACAAGTTAAGAAAAGCCTACATCCAGTTCAGAAGGCAGCAGTGGGCCTCGGGGGTGATTGTCATCTCTTGGCTTGTGCATGTCCACATGAGGCGTGTCCGTAAGATGCTGAAGGAATCACGACAGAGGCACCTGGCGAATTTCTATATCAGAGCCAAGGTATACCCAGGGCTAGCTATTTTGGCAGCACTTCTTTTTTACAAAATGCTTGAATGATTGCAATAAAATTTCCCATGCCCTTCATTTAGCTAAAATCCCAGAAGTACTTTCGGTTTTATCTACTTTGTCAACTACTTTGGTTTTTGTACACAAAATAGAAAAATTTTACTTATGCTTTGATTTTAGCCATTTGAGAAAATATACAATTGCTGAAATTTTGTTGGCAGAGATGTGCTGTACAACGAGAATGATGCAATCAGCAATGAAATAATAATGGTGAGGATGACCATCATAGGCATCCTTCAGTCTCGAGAGACCATGGTAATGTGCTCTGTATGGAGGACTTCAATGCTGTATGCGAAGCTGGAGTGTCCTCTGCAGAGCACGAAGCCTGGGAAAAATAATATGGAGGATAGGCTGTTACCCAAGCAGCAAATGCCCCCTCTCCACGTCGCTGAAATAGTCCAATGGAAAGGCAAGAGCCAATACAGCTGGTTCCAGTGACGTCGCAGGAGTTGGCAGAATGACACGAACTGCCTCCGGGACTCTGACTCTGTATTTTGCCTTGAGGTTTACTCCTGAAGCCTTTTCCATCAGTGGATATAGCCACAAGGCAGTGGAGGTTTGAAATCTGAGTTTTCCTTCTCTTAGATGGGCTGCCTTCCCAGGCTGATGAGCCTCACCTACCTGGGAGGATGACCATAATGATCATCATCATGTCTCGTTCTAGTAATGTATTTAAACAATGGCTGAAATCCTGTTGTGCAATTTTATGCTGTGTGTTGATGTCATAAGTCACGACTGTGCCATGGCGGTTTCAGACAATAAAAAGCTTCCTAGATGCCAGCCCCCCCCCCCCAATTGTTTTCTGGATCTCCGGGTATCCCTTTTGTCTTGTAGCAGTCTTAGGAAGCTGCTGAATGGGAGGCAGAATGATTTCAAGCCAGAGAATTGCCACCCTTGATACTGGCTTGAACTGGCAGCAGTGATTTTTCTGGCTTTAAATTGTTCTCCCTCCTGTTCTGTGATTCCCAAAGGCTGACCCAAGATGAAGGGGGTCCCTAGGGTCTGATACTTGGGGTTGGGGTTCGATTTAAGAAGCTCCAAAATGGTCATGGCACTGCTGGCACCCCATGTGGCATAAAATTGCACAACAGGGTTTTAGCCATTGTTTTAAATATGTTCCTGTAACCAGGCATCATGATCATCACCATTATCACCATCACAACTATCCCTTCATTAACATTTTTAAATCTCCCTGAGCATCTTACAAAATTTGGTTATAAGGGAGTCTCAGCCATCAGGCTTACAGTTTTAAAGGTACAACACAAAGGTAATGGAACCGAGAGGGTGGAAGAGCATTGCAAGAAACAGGGTATGGCAGCTGATTGTGGCAACCCTGCTGAGCTTTCCCTCGGCTGCCCAGCAATGTGTAGATGTGGGAAAGAATGACATGATATTTGCATGCCTTGTATGGCTCTGTCTATCCGTCCAGCTTATTAGCTGTCATCTGTGTGGGACAAAATACACTGCTTTGGTTACGGGGGGGGGGGGGACATTAGATTTCCATAGGCATATAGTAATTTAGAAAAGGGGAAATGCCACTTTCAGAAGAAAACCCATTTTTGTCTTCACATCTAATTTGTTCTTAGTTCAGTTAATAAATCTTATCTGCTTTTCCTTCCTCTTCCCTGTACAGCTGCATTATGCTTCTGATAGGGGATAAAAGAGTCTCTTTTGCCTCTGTGGTTATCTCTACTTTGTCAGAAAGTACTTAAGTTTGCAGACAGGCTTTTAATTAGTGATCACCATTTCATTTATGTTTGCTTTCTCTTTTTTTCTTCCCTCTTTTTTTCATTCATATTCTGTTAATTAAGTGATCAGCCTCTAATCTTCCCCTGCCAGTAGCTTCATGTAGCCATCTAATTAAATTAATTGGGGAAGATGTTTTAAGTATGTGATTAAATCAATTAATATAATTTATGCTTGGCTTAACTGTACAGTGGGAAAAGAGAGGAAGGAGGGGTGTAGCAGCTGAAGTTTGACTGGATTGTATCTGCCGCAGCTTCCCCCCTGTCACTGATCAATGCCTTCTCTTGATTTTTAGCATCTGGCCGCCAACTGGAATCGCATCAGGACCTCTAGGAGGACCATTATCCATATCCCATCATTAGGTATAACGCTTTTGTCTGTGGATCTATCAGCAACCTCTATTACCCACCACATTATGACTCCTTGATTGAGTTCAAGGAAGGCCCTTGTTTTATTCAAATTGGTCTCGGCAGGAAAATGTTGTCAACATGATGAGAGTAATAACGCAGTTCCTTCACTTGAAACGCTGTTTAATTTGGGGATTAAGCAAATAAAGTCATTATGTAGAGGCTGCTATTCAGTGGAGAGGTGATTTGCTGTAATTCGCTTTCATCTGTATGAAATGAACTAAAAAGTTGTGTGTGTGTGTCCCCCTCCCCTCGCTTCTTGTCCTCCTCTCCCCTCCTTTCCCCTTGAAATAATAGATAATATTTCCAGTCTCTTTTAATGGCAGGAGAACCTTCTTTGTTGCTATTACACCAATAAACTGGGATGATGCTAGCACTCTGTTTTTAATCAAATGTGCAGTCAAAATGATAAGCTGCATTCTCTGAAATTATTTAGTTCTAATTACGAGCAGATGGGATGCTTTATTTCCACCTTGGGCGCCTGAGCAAAAGGAAATGCTGTGTGCACAAGAATAATTAAGAAGTTGAATGGGGGGGGTTGCTTAAATAATCTGCAGTTTCATGTTAATTAGCACTAATGTAATTATTTAATTACATATATGAATTAGGGGCTTTAAAGGCATTTTCCTAGCAAGTGGTAAAGCAACATAAGATATTTCTGGCTTTTTGAAAGAACACCTTTCTAGGAAATTGCAAAAAGTTTAATCTATGATCTCAGCCAGCTTGGAGATCCAATTAATTTTGTGAAATAGAGTTGGTTTAATTTGAAGGGGTGAAAAATATGAGCCACTTCCCTTTAGTGCATATATAAGGATTTAAATATGAAGAACTTTTTGAAAAGCAACAGCCTCCCTGCCAGAGATCAATGTGTGAATGGGGGGTATAATTGATGTTTATGTGTGAACAGGCAATACAAACATCATTCATGAACAACCTATATTATTCAGACAGTTTTCTTAAAAGTCTCATGTGAATTTGTCACCTTGGCTTGCAACAGACAACAGAAAGTTCTTTTACATCTTAGAATAATATTTTAAAATTTTCTACTGCTTTTGACCCCAAATGCAAGGTGAAATAAAGCAAGAAATTTATAGCAGATGAGCTAATATATTTCAGCCTTTAACATCAGATGTCAGCAATGATGCTGAATGTTTTTAGAAGTCCTTTCTAATTCATTGATATAATAAAAATAGATGAAGATCTTTCTTCAAGTGAAATACATTAATATATGTATCAGTTTGCTTTCTGTTACCTCTAGCAAAATATACAAATGTTATTGGAAAATATGCAAATGTCTTGAAGACTCGTCTAAAGAAATTACCGTATTTTTCGCTCCATAAAAGGCACCTTTCCATAAGACACACCAATTTTTTAGGAGAAGAAAACAGGAAAATATAATCTGTTTTCTTCACTCCATAAGACGCACAGACTTTCCACCCCCGTTTTGTGGGGGAAAAGTGCGTCTTATGGTGCGAAAAATACGGTACCTTTTTTCTCTCTTTTTTGAAAAACATTTGACAGAGAAATATGAGTTATAACTAATAGGGTAGAAACTACCCTTTTCTGGAGCATCTGGAGGTTTAAGAGACCTTTCATGTTTCAGAAGTGACTTTTTTTGCTCGGTCTGATACCTAGAGTAATATGAAAAAGATAGTACACCCTCTTTGAATGCTATGGTTTTACGTATCAGGACATAACAAAAATCATCTGGTCCTTAGCAGGTCTGAAAATTAAGTAAATACAGACTCAGATGAATAACAACACATGACATATTACATCGTGTCATGATTTGATTAACAAAATTAAAGCTAAACTGGAGAAGCCATGTGCGAAAAACTAGATAGACCCTTACTGCTTCCATAGGAATTAAGAGGCTAAGTAGCAGCCAGGTTCTGCTAACTAAATGCTCGTGAGCAGAGGTGTTAGCAGTTTGCTGGTCTGGAACATTCAGGAGGTTAACACAATGCTAAGGAGGAAACAGATCAGCAATGATCGTAGAGAAGCAATTGTATCTGCCCATCAATCTGGGAAGGGCATTAAGGCCATTTCCAAACAATTTAAAGTCCATCATTTTACAGTGAGGAAGATGATTCACAAGTGGATAACATTCAAGACAGTTGCCAATTTTCCCAGGAGTGGACATCCAAGCAAATTCAACCAACGGTCAGACCGTGCAATGCTCAGAGAAATTTTAAAAAAACCGAGTTACATCTCAGATTCTACAGGCCTCAGCATGTTAAATGTTAAAGTTCATGCCTGTACAATTAGAAAAAGACAGTGTAATGGGCCGTGTGTTGTTATTCATCTGAGGTTGGATCTACTTAATTTTCAGATCTGTTAAGGACCAGTTGATTTTTATGATGTCCTGATACATAAAGCCATAAAATTCAAAGAGGGGTGTATTTTCTTTTTCACCATTACTGTAGGCGACAAAATGGATTTACATCGAAATTATATATAGTCAAATTCTGTGGAAATGTTCCACTCTGAATCAGTTATATTTAGGTCTGCAGAAAAAAAACAACCTGAAATTTTATGGTCCTGGAACATATTGTTTGAGTTATGGGACGAGGTGGTTTCCCCCATCTCCTGGAATCCTGTGATACTTGGAGGGAGAGATCTGAGGTTGGGACCCCTGGAGATGTCCCAAGATGAGTGAAAATTTAGATATGCCTCAGTGCTTGTTTAAATTGCCTATAGTGAGAGTATTTGGTCATGAAAATGGAAATGACACCAAACAAAAACAGCTCCAGTTGGAGATTGGGCAGATTGAGCCCTCTGAGACATTCACTCTGCCAGCAATAGTTTGGCAAGTCTTTGGATCTATCCGATATCAAAGTTCCCTCTCCTTTGCTTTCTGTCTTTACAAGTGCAACATAAAGCAGGAATGGATTGATTGATTGATTGATCATAATTTCAGTTGCTTACCACACTTTCTGGACAGTTATAGAGACCGTAATATAAATAAAACTCTGTCTCTAGCTGGAAAACCTGCATTTAAATAAAAGAAACAAATTTAAGATTTCCTATCACTTGCAGCTAAATCTGAAATCTGTACATGCAGGCAGCATCATTATTAGGTCAAACACAAAAGGCACAAAATTGTAGGAAGCATTTGAAATCTCCAAATCTTATCATTAATCAAGATGTTATGGAAACTAGGTTGGGAATGTAGAAGGAAGGAGGAGGAGAATGTTTCTGATTTGATGATGAAGTTGAAATGGTGGAAGAGTTGCAGACTTAGGTAAATTAGATGTGGAGTATTTGAATTTTCCAGATTACAGCTGAAACCTGGAATAAAATACAACAGTTACTCAAATTTATCTCTGCCTTGGTGAAAACAGTTTCCTTGCCAAAGTAAAATGCAACATAGTTGATTTTGTTAACAAAGCTATATATAAAGTTGGGTTGGTGTTTGACTGTGTATTTTTCTGATGTACCAGCATGTGTTGTCCTATACAGTATCAACTTATATTTGAATATCTCTAATTTGCATTTCTACTGAGTAATGCAATGCACATGGTTGTTGTGGGTTTTTCGGGCTGTTTGGCCATGTTCTTAAGGTTTTTCTGCCTGATGTTTCGCTAGTCTCTGTGGCCAGCATCTTCAGAGGACAGAACTCTCTGTGCTCTGTTGCAGTTTGTTGGATAGTTGAGTATAGCTGTGGGATCAGCTTTTGTCCTTTTCAGGAGATTGGGTGATTATGGTGATCAGCGTGTTTTTGTTGTGGGTGTATTGTTATAAGGGGGAGAGATCAGAGGTGGGATTCAGCAGGTTCTCACCTATTCTATAGAACCGCTTCCTAAATGTACTATTGGTTCTTAGAACCGTTTGTTGGCCTGAGATGAGTGAAGGAGGAGGGGCCAGGTGACCAGCAATGAGCGAAGGGGAGGGGGCACAATTAACTGCCTCCCTTCCCACTCCACACTGAGCCGTCTGAGGTGGGATATGGGTGAGAGAGATAAAGCCCTGGAAAGAGCAGAGGTGTCACTGGGGGAAAAGG